CCACCTGGGGAGGGAGGAGGACCCGAGGAGGACCAGCGCGCCAAAGAAGGACCAGCGTGGGAGAGGAGGACCCCCAGACCCCAGAGGCTATGCGGATCTGACCCCCCCCCCCCGGACCTCCCCCCCCCGCCGGGGAAGGGACAAAGGGAAGGGGCTTCCCTTTGACGTACTGAGGATGTGGATGGAATTCCCTCAAATTGCGAACCCGCTTCCCGAATGAGGAAGGGTGCTCTCTCTCTCTCTCTCTTTCTCCCCCGACGGGAGAGGAGGATGGGAAGGAGGGGACGAAAGAAGGCTCCCCGTCGACGGGACCAGACAGACACCCCACACACGCCGACAGGTCACGTGTTGATTCGCGGTGTTGACTCCCAGGAATTGTGTTCTGGCATGACTTAGGATCCTCAGGTCGCAACCGTGTCGTTGATTCGTGGCGTTTAAGTCCCAGGAGTGGTGCCCGCAGTGACAATAGATCTTCATAGGAGCCTGCGAAGACAGGTGATTTGGAGGGAGGGTTTATTGCAACATCGTTGATGAGTCTTGGGTTTGCACTGGACCTCCTTCTCTTCCTCCTCCCCCTCTCCCTCCTCCTCCTCCTCGGCCCCACGCTTGGCTCCTCCTCCTCCTCCTCCTCCTTCCCTCCATCCTCCAGCTCTTCCTCCTCCGCCCCCTCCCCCCTCTTCCTCCCCATCCTCCCCCTTTCGGCCTTCCTCTTCCGCCTCCTCTCCCTCCCCCTCCTCCCCGCTGTCCTCCCCCCTTTACCCCTCCTCCGCCTGCTCCTCCTCCTTCTTCTCCTTCTCCGTTCCTCCCCCCTCCTCTCCCCCTTCTCCTCTCTTGGAACTCTTCCCGACGTCCGCGCCGTCGGTTCGTGCGCGCGCCGCCGTCGCCCGCAGGAAGGCGGAGACCTCGAGCTTGCAGAACTTCCAGGTCCTGGAGCAGAATCTGAAGGACCGACGGCCCCCCAGGGGCCCCTCCCTTTCCTCCTCGGCGCGTCGCTCTGCGGTGGGTAGTGCGGCGGCGATGGTGGCGACGACGACGTAAAGCAGACTCTTCGCATGGATTGAGAGGATGAGGATTGAGAGGAGGAGGAGGAGGAGGAGGAGGAGGAGGAGGAGGAGGAGGAGGAGGACGAGGACGAGGAGGAGGAGGAGGAGGATGAGAAGGCTGAGGAGGAGGATGAGGAGGAGGACGAGGAGGAGGAGGTGGGAGGAGGATGATGAGAGGATGAGGATTGATGAGGCGGAGGAGGAGGAGGGAAGAGGGGGGGGCAGGAGGAGGAGGGAGGAGGGAGGAGGGAGGAAAGGGGAGGGAGGAGGGAGGGAGGGAGGGAGGGCGGATGGATGGATGGATGGAGGGAGGGCGGGAGGGAGGAGGAGGACGAGAGAGGAGGAGGAGGAGCAGGAGGAGGAGGAGGAGGAGGAGGAGGAGGAGGGACATATTAACCAGAGTAACCCCCAGGTGCAGGAGTGATGCTGAAAGAAATCCTCCTGTCCCGAGACCCCTCTTCACAGGTCCCTACGGTCATGCTTGTTCATTTCGGAAGGCTTTTCTTGGACAGTTTTGTCAAGTGAGAGCTCCGTCTCGGAAAGGGTGTGTCCTCCATCCGTGGAGTTGCTGGAGCATGTTTTTACTACGGATGCGCGCGGTGCTAAGACGATGCCGACTTTTTCGACGCCTCCCATTTGAATACGTGTTCGGATTTATGAGCTTCGAGATCGTAAGCGGAGAGTATACAGCTGCCTCCGGTAATTCCGCCACTGAGGAGGAGGAGGCGGACTAATGATCAGACGAGGCATACACATACTAATAACAACAATACGAGTCATGATACACATGCAACGACTACTAAGAACATTTAGCAATACTAATACGAATAATAATGATACCACTACTATTAAGAAGCGTAATAAGAAGAAACAGGTGAGGAGGAGTAGGAGTAGGACTAGGAGGAGGAACATGAGCAGGAGGGGGGACGGGAGATTCAGAGGGAGCGCCCCTGCTGGCTTCCCCCCAGGACGAGATCAAGAACGGTAACACCGACCTGAGCGATGCCAAGAAGGGCCTGGGCGCCAGCGGTGCCGCCAAGGCAGAGGCCGAGGGCGACCTTGCCGCGACGTCTAAGGAGCGCTGTGGAAGGGAAGAGTCCCTGAGGGCTTGACGACTCCTCCTCTAATGACTCGCGGAGATCGACTCCAGAGAGATCGATGTAAATCTGCGTGAGTCCGTGTACATCCAGTTGGATATCGGAGTACATCCAGAGGTAAACCCAGAACATATCCTGGATGCTCCAGCGCGAGTCGAGGGGCATCAGAAGTCGGTAAGGCCTTCACGAGAGAGGGGGCGATGTCGAGAGCTCAGATGGTGGGGTGAGCGGCGCAAGGGTTGAGGAGCCTCGAGGGTCTTCGGAGACCTCCGGGGATCTTCTGAGGCCCTCAGGGGTCTCTGGAAGCCTCCGTAGGCCTTTGGATGTGTGAAGTCGGCAGAGACCGTCAGGAACCCGATC